AAATGACAAATGTATAGTTGTGTTATTGCTGACTTTAATTATTTGGTGTTTGTCTTCTACATCCACCATCTCATAACATTTATGCATATTATCACTTTTCAATAATTCAATTATTTTTTTTATTCTGCATGATTAAGTTGGTGTTTATAAATAATCATGCCATCAACTTTTTTCACATTTTAGTGAAATGCCCTTCGCAGTAAATTTGTTTTAAATGCAACCTACTCGGTACGTACTTCGTATACTRTTTTCATTTTATTGGTCTTTTTTTTTATTACAAAAGTAAGTATATTTACGTTTACGAAGTAAATGGAGACTAGAATTTTTTTATGAGTTCACCAAGACGTATATTATAAACTTTTAATTTTTGCAATCCGGAATACTAGATTTATGTCATTACCCAACCTAATTCCATAAACCCATAGCGTTTAGTGCTTCACTACTATTACAAAATACATCCAAGACTTAATCTGATCCATTTACACTTCATCAGACAGTTTAGTATATATAGTGCGAACGTGACACACTCGATATACGTGAGTGCTGGCGGGCAAAATACATAATTACTATACATATGGATAGGATGAAGAATATATGCAAATTCATTGACGGGCGATGAAAGAGAGGACAATATTACAGGTATCGTATACTATATCGAAAACACGTGTATATTCTTATGGTTATTGAATGTATTTTTTTAAATTAGTTTTTTTACCAACAGATTTTTAACATAGGTAAGTACACTACAAATTAGACGACGACGGAGTTTATTTTTAAAACCGCTAATATTTCTACTTACAGGTGTATAGTGCAAGCTGTTTTTACTATTATTATTTTGTACCTAAAAACATGCCTACATATACAGTGTGCCGGTGTGTATACTGCTGTACATTATTATTTTCCACCGTCAATAACATTTTAATTTTAATTAGTATTTTTTTTAAACTACCGCACTGTATTTTTCACATTTATTTAGTGTTACGAAATAATCAGAGAAAGAAATTAATCTACTGTGATAGGGAAAATGATAAAAATKAAATTGCTAAAAGTTCAAAAATTAAAATATTATATTATGGCTGTACCTTTTTTATTTAAATATTCATGATTGTTTGTCTACAGTTTACATAGGTTGGAGAATTGTATGAAATCCTCACAGTTTTTACAACACGAATTATTGATCAACCGTAAATAATTTATTATATTGCGTACAACATAATATTAATTATTAAAAAAGTAATAATATGTACAATGTGCATATATGTATATAGAAGTATACAAATAAAATTACGGAGTATAAAACATTTTTTCCTCCTCCTTATTAATTTATTATTGACATTGTTATAATATATTATGGAAATCCTATAGTATACCTGTATTATACTACTATTTAAAAATTTTTTTATTACGTTTTTAATTGAAATAGTGCGCAACTGCGCCAGCGTCACGCGTTTTACGTATGACAAAAATGTTATTTTTCGATTTTTTTTCAAACTCCTCTAACAAATGGTAAGTAAAGTATGGCCTATGAGATAAATAGTCGAAAACATATTTTTCTATAATATGGTCCGCCGTCGAGTGTTTTACAGAGTTCAATCAGAGATTACAAGTGAAAACATGGCCGACGGATCTGGCTTCACGCACGACCGTTTCGGCTGGCTCACCGCTTATAATAATAACAATAATAATAATGATGATGATATATTATAGTACCTATACTATACACATAGGTAGGTACCGTTCCTCGCGATGATTATGACACGTCTTCCTCTCCACCGCGCCCTTTACTATCCGTTGAAGACTATCATCGTGATTATATTACGATGCCGCGGTTGCATCTCGTCTTATCGGGTGCGGATCACGGGAGTACTGTATACGCTTTCTTCAAAATAAAAGAGAAACAGTATAAACTGAGACGAAAATAATTTTGTTTGTACGCGAAAAGAAGAAACCGGTGTACTCACGGTTAATTGTTATTAAACTGTTCTCGTGTAATACTGTAATACCGTGTAATATTGTTTTCGCGTGCTTACAAGGCTTCAATAACTATGATATTATATCTATAAGRAGTGTGCACTAGTGTGGTTAAATGCATCCATTTATTTATTTTGTAATTTTGTTTTTTTGTATGTTTTTCGTTTACGTTTATGATATCWTTTTTTGCTAGTATTTTATTTTGCGAACTATTAGTACCGGATGTGAAATTTCGTAAACGGAATCATCGCCGGCWKATATGACGATCGTCATTCAAATTCTAGTTAGTACTATTATAATATTATTTATTATGATGATGTATATCGTTACACATCGCATACGTTTTATAAATGTGTATACAGTTACGAGAGTTACRTCAATTACTTCACGAGCTCATAATATATACATACGGTTTACACATACTCGCACGTGTATAATATTATGTACTTATAATATATAATCTAGTAGTAAAATTTAACGAGAAATAATGAATAATTATTATGTAGGTATGTAGTGGTCCGCGATATTATTAAGATCAATATTTTAACTTTTGAGTGGGCAAGCCTTGTTTTTCTATAATGTTAATATTTGACTAAATATCATACATTATCCAAACGATTATAATAATACGTTTATCGGACCTTCGCAATAGTAGATTATTAAGATTCGTTTATAATTAGAGTACATACTTTACATCTAGTCAAAATGCAAATTATATAAGATATAGGTACTATTATGTATYATATCAACAGAGGGAGGGTCATTTTTCAATCACACTCTAAATATTGAAAATAATACAATATATATCAAAGCAATGACCTTCATTTTATATATTTTATAAAATATGTTTCAATCATACATGGGTGCGGAGGATTCATATTATCTGTACTTAGAATTTGATAATTATTATTATGCTAGGAAGTTAAAATCATAAATTTGAAATTATTACATTTGAGTAGTTGGAAACTTAATTTTGTCAATTTTGATGACATTATATTATTGTGTAAATACTTTGAAAGTTTTATACATTATTATTTATTTATATTAAACATACCTTAATAATTAGATGTCGAAGTACATTGTTTTGTGAACAATTAAATTAAATCATTATTACTATCTTGTACTTATATCGGCACACAGAAAATATTGGAAATGACTTGGAACAATAAAATTGGTGCCATATCAAACCTCTGGGGGTAACGTAACCGTAATCTCGTAATATTGAATAAATATTTAAACCACTCACAAAAATTGACCTTTACGATATTTATAAAATGAATTATATTATATTATATTAATATGATATATCGAAGCACGTACTTTTGTTTTATTTATAATGTGGATAGTGGATACACGGTGATTTGTTTCATTGTGAACCAAGTATGATATTTTCAATTTTTATTTAGATAATAAACATTATAGGATTTAGAAATAAATTTTAAATTAAGTAATTGAACCGTGAAAAACGATGTAAATCAAAGCATATARTTAATTAAAAGTTTTATGCATAAATTGTGAAACATGCTCAAGATATTGTCTGTTTTTTTGACGTTGAAAAAAATCATTATACCTGCGAATAATAATTAATAGCATGCACGTGGTTTAAATAACATAATACTACTAAATTCTAGTTTTTTTTCACTTTTTAGCAACTACTTGTTTTTTTATACGGTACTTGCCTATAACAATATTATTGCTCGTAAAACGTTATTCAATGCATTTCGACGTCACAACACATTATTATAATAATAACTTTATGATATATATATATATTTGACCTGCATATGTCCATACACATAATAAACGATTTGAAATCGTTCGGACGGTACGAACTCCGTCAGTTGTCTCTGATGGATATCTTATCGGTCRTCACTACATCGATCTGTACCGACTGCAGGTACAATGCGATGGTTAATGAACGAAATGTTTCTCAAAAACAAAATCTATGRCATGCTACGACACGTGCATATTATATTATTATTATTATTATTATTATCAACACTCTCTCGCACGCATGTGTCGTATAGTGATGACCGTGACACTATATACCTACATATTATTACATGTTAAATATTATATTATATTGTTGTCGTACTCCGCGCAAACAATAAGGTGTCGCGTAAACACACACGTGAAGAGTATCATCTAATCATCTGTACATAACGCAAACATCCTGGATTTCGCTTTGATAATAATATTATCCTCTTTTAATGGGTCGTAAAACCGCCGAATATAATATTATCACGCGTTGTTCGAGCTGATTGCGCTCTACAGTGCATATATAATATATTATTACYATTATTATTATTGCATAAATATACGGACAACCGCGAGAACCTGTCCTTAAGAGACGTTTTCGAACGGATCGTATATATGTACCTATCTAAGCAATATTATTTTATGATGCGCCGCAGATAATATCTATTGCCTAGGAGTGTCTGCGGCGTGCAGCTATCGTAAATAAAGGACTCGTGCGTGTGCAGCGTGCACTGYTGCAGCACTTATCTCTGCTGCAGTGAATTCGAATTTTCTTATTTTTCGTAATAAACGACCACGAAAAAGCTAGTCGTCTGCCTGTTGAGATGACAACAAGAACATAATATTTAAAATCTTGAACCTKCAGAATACTGCGCAAGAGAGATGGTATTCAATATTATATCATGCAAGAACGTTCCGATTGGTCGCGCATTTGTGTAACTTACCAACTATACCTATAACTACCGTACGGCCCGCGTGTCTATTTATCAATAAACACAACAAATATCTACTAAAATCTGTACCTGTACTGAGTACGGCTGTTTAGTCGCACGTGCGAATAACCTAACCTGACAGGTACCCTAACCATGGAATTTTACTACGGTTTCGATACGATGCATAAATCTTAACACCGAATTTTTGTTTTCAAACCATAAAAAAAAGCAATATTGTCAACGAGCCTTACGTCATGTAACATAGCATAAAATATATATTATGTACACAACACGGTATAATGCATATTATATTATAAAATGGTATGTCAAAACACTGACCTTCGTCTCCTGGCCGGTATGATGCCAAACGGCAGGCGAAATCCACCGGGCGTGTTGACGGCCGAGCCGACGGGCACCCCGGGCGGCTGATGGGGGTGTTGGAACGTGGTGGGCGGCAACAGGGACGCCTGCATGTTGGCCRCCCGGGTGGCCATAGCGACATCGCACACGCCGCCGCCGACGGTGGTATACAGCGGTGGCGGGAGGTGCGAGTTGAGCAACAGGTCGGGCAGCCTGTCCGGGTCGACAGACACGGCGATACCGGGTTGCTGCTGTTGCTGCTGCTGCAACAGAAGCGGCGGCGGTGGCGGCGGCAGCAGCGACGACGACGAAAGCGCGGGTGGAGGCGGCGGCGGCGGGTGGACGCGTCGTTGCTGTTGCAGCCGGCGTTCCCGCCGTTCCCGCCGCCGCTGTTCCCTGTACGCTGACGAGCACGCCGTCTCGTCCGTCTGCGCTTCCGTGGACGCGTAAGTCCTCTCGGCGGCCGCCGCCTGAGGCTTACCGCCGTCCGCCGTCACGCCGACGCCGACGCCCCCGCCGCCGGTTATCAAACCGCTCCCGTTGTCCATCAGCACTACRGCGCGCACTCGGTTATCATCGCGAACGTCGACGTCGTGATCCACTCGGTTGAGGTTTTCGTCCTCGTAAACGCAATAGTAATCCTCGTCGTCGTCGTCGTCGTCGTCGTCGACATCGACGTCTCCGTTATCACAACACCAATCACCCGCACTGACACAGCGAGACKGCACGTTGCGCGAGGTCGGACGCTGTACGTTTGACTGAACGTCTGCGGTGAGTTGTGAACGCAGCAGCGGTCGTCCCCCTTCGACGGCGGCGGCGGCGGCGGTGCCTCGACGCTGAAGCAGCGATCCATGCGGCGGACAGCGGTAACCGGTTGTCGTCCGGGCCGTATCCTCGTTATGTGGGTCACCGAGGACGGCCGCGGTATCCGCGCTACACCAGCACGGCGGCGGAGGCGTTTTGTCTCCGCCGCCGTCGTCCAGCAGACGGCACACCGACGACGAACACGAGCCGGCTGACCTGGAAATAACAGAAAAACAACGAGCCGAATGATGAGAAGGAAATAAAAAAAAACAGGAAAATTATACACATCACACAATGSGATTGACACAATAATAATAATTAAAATCATTAGCCTACTTGTCGTGGCTCGTATTATTATATGTTATGTACTATGTACTGATATATACCTACGCGACGCATTTATCAGATGGTCTCTCCAGTGAAACCGTATTTAAACGCCATGTAGTGATAGTGGCTCAAGTATTTTATGTAGGTATTAATCACTAATAACATAATGTCCTAGAATTGACAGAAATATATTTCCTATCGGAGGAGATGAAAAAATTGCACCGTTTTAGGTTTTCTACGCTTCTGCCATATTTGTGTAATTATATTTACGCACATTCTATGTTGGTATAGTTGACCTAACCTGTTAATATATTTTATATAATACATCAATTTTTAAATATCATAATATTTCCATTGTCCATATATCAAACAGTAATTTAATAAACTTTAAGAATTTTCTTGTTTTTAATAACTCCGTAATCCGTATTCCGTATTCCTATTTAATAAATAATTGTACACGGAGAATATTATCAATTTATTTTTATTTCTCATCGCTCACATTTATTTTAATTGTTTTAGGGCTAATGAAAACAATTTTCGAAGAATTTTTTAACGCTTTTTGAATATTTGAATGATTACAAAGGATTTTAATATTAATATAAATTTAAAGATGGGTTTAAAATATTAATCAGGTTTTTAATTTAATTAATTAGTTATCAATTATATTTTAATTGAGTGTACGTCGTTCATTTCAAAATTTAAACTATTTAATTTTATAAGGTAGCTAGGTTTATTACATAGGTAATATTTTATACTAATATAATATTATATGTGCATATGTGATACGGATGTTTGAGTAACACACTCTCAGTACGACACAAAAAGGACTTGGCATTTAGCACTCCCAATTACTTCAATTAGAATTTGTGCCCAAATTATTATATTATTGGTCTTTGATCAGCAATCATATAAAATTTTACTCGTAAACAGATAAGGAACCAGAACCCCTTTCAACCAGAAATTTGTTCGTTAAAAAGTACAAAAAGGTAACGACTTTTGATTTCGAACTCATCATAAATAATAATTACATATTAACTGCACCACTAAAGTTTACAATTTTTACAATTGAAGTATATTATGTAGTAACATTATGATGGTAATATTATTCAAGTATTTTAGTACTTACAGAATTATTATATAAAATTTAAAATATGTACGACATTGTATGTTTAAAATTAAAATACTTATACGTCTCCATAAA